AAATACGGAATTATACGGATATTTTTCCTTAATCCCCACCATACTACTAGTTCAAATACGGATATTCAGCGCTAAAGATCTGGCATCACTGATCCGGATATTACTTTTTAATTTGGAACTTTTACTGGTACAAAAAAACTTGTACCATGGAATTACCTACATGTATAGGATGACTCTCCGTTTGAATACTAAATCTTAAAGTTTTATCAGAACTGTGTTAAATCGTGCTTTGTTTTTATATTTTTCGCCTCTATACCTATGCACGACTATAGTTAAAGTCTTACAAAACAAATAAAATCAAACAAAACATACAATACCTACACCTGTCACAAAATAAATAAAATAATAAAAAATAAAACTATAATAAAACAAATAAAATCCAACAAAATATAGAAAATTAAACAAAACATATAAAAGTCAACAAAATATTAAAACTCGGGTTCCTCACTTCACCGTTTGAGGGCCCTCGACGCACAAGTTTCAAGAAGACTAATAGAACCCCTTCAGCGAAGTCATGCATCAATCCCTGAAAAATGGTGTAACTTCATCAATACTTGGCAGATTCAACTCCATCGTTTCCAATTAAAGCTATAAATTAAAATTAAAAATTAAAAGGATTTAAAGAAAACCCTAAAAACCACACTGTTCAAAATTTCATGACCATTTTAACACCAAATTAACACCATATTTGGTCTATAATGGTGTTAAATAAGGTTCGTTGGCCGGTGTAAATTCAAATACTAAAATGGTGTTAATTTAACTTTCACACAGTATTAAAATAAACTTTACTTGGTGTTAATTGAACTCCTTTTCAGTGTTACTATGTGTGGACAAATTAAATCATACTACACAGAAAAAACGAAAAAAAAGGAAACAGGAAGTTCCTTGACGCATTACTAGTATATTACCAGTGGTATTATTCCAGAAAATGGAACCTTCAACTCGCTAGAGATAATGTTTTTAGTGCGTTGCACTAACTTAAAATACTTCAAGTATTGACAGCTGTTTCCACCTATTTAAGGTCTCTTTAGAATCGAACAACTTGTAGTGTCACACCAAAGCAAAGGATTACCTAAGTTTATATATATATTCTTCATGTAAGTCAACAGAGGCGAGATTTAAGAACATCACGTGATCCACACCGCCTTTGCCGCGATCGGTACACATTTTCAACCTATTCGTGGTGTTATATTAACACCGCTTGGTGTTGGATTTTGACACCATTTTAAGATTACTTTTTACACCACAGATATTTTAAACAGTGCATATACCTATAACTAGGTATATGCTAAAAACTTACCGCATTCGCGAAAAATCTCCTAATATTAGTATTTTTGAAACTTGTGCGTTGAGCGCCCTCAAACGGTCAAGTGAGGAACCCGAGTTTCAATATTTTGTTGGCTTTTATATGTTTTGTTTGCTTTTCTATATTTTAGGTATAGGTATTATTATAATAGGCATATTATGTTTTGTTGAATTTTATTTTTTTTTGTTATGTTTTATATGATTTGTTACAGGTGTACTATATGTTTTGTTGGATTTTATTTGTTTTGTTATATTTTATATGTTTTATTATATTTTATTTACCTATTTTCTGTTTTCTATACATTCTATGTTTTGTGAGAGATATTATATTTATTTTCTACACTTCTATTTTTACGCAAACGGCGCCTCTTATTGTCGAATGGTGCAGTTATTTATGTCTCTAGAAATTATTGAAAAAGGAGGCAGTCCAATGGTGCAGCAACTTCGGATTCTTATTCTCTTCAAAGACATAGAAATTCAAGCTTTTAGAATTTTACTGGCAATGATTTTCGTTAATGTCCCCGAGAATTTTATTTGTTTTGTTATATTTTATATGTTTTATTATATTTTATATACCTATTTTAAATTATTGAAAAAGGAGGCATTCCAATGGTGCAGCAACTTCGGATTCTTATTCTCTTCAAGCTTTTCGAATTTTACTGGCAATGATTTTCGTTAATGTCCCCGAGAATTTTATTTGTTTTGTTATATTTTATATGTTTTATTATATTTTATATACCTATTTTGTGTTTTCTATACATTTTCAGTTACATTCTATATTTTGTGAGAGATATTATATTTATTTTCTACACTTCTATTTTTACGCAAACGGCGCCTCTTATAAGTATACTGTCGAATGGTGCAGTTATTTATGTCTCTAGAAATTACTGAAAAAGGAGGCAGTCCAATGGTGCAGCAACTTCGGATTCTTATTCTCTTCAAAGACATAGAAATTCAAGCTTTTCGAATTTTACTGGCAATGATTTTCGTTAATTTCCCCGAGAATTATAAAAAAACAGCGCAATTTAATATCGCAACGGTTTCGACTTCTCTTTACTCTACCAAGTTATAGAAACTGAAGTCTCTCTATAGATTATAATACTGTTCCAGTCAATATTTCTGCAGAGCATAAAAAGACGGTGTAATTCAATATTGCAAGAAGTTTTGATCTTTTGATGGATGCAAGTATTTTCAATATTCTCATTTCTGCATATGTTGAAAACAGTTCCTTTATTTGGTTCCTTTGTATGATTTTTATTTACCGTACGTAACAACTCAGGTATGTAAAGCACAGAGGATATGATGTAAAGTATATTTATGTATTATATAAAGTACCTAGATATATTTGTATTAAAAATTTCAGAGGTTATGATCGATATGCTATTAAACTTTAATAATTTAATAATAATAATAATTTTATCTCCACTGGTATATACATATATATTTTAGTACAGCAATATTTAAATCTGGTTGATCAAAAAGTACACACCAGTGCAGGTTATTGTAGCATCTACGAACAAATGAATTAAGGGCCCATTCATTTAGGAAAAATATTCAACACAGCTTAATTAATTAATAAAATGAAAAAAATCACTATCATGTCGTATATAGTTTTTTTTTCAAGCATAAAATAATTTTTACTAGTAATACCACTAGAGGTCAAATTATTTCCGGAAATTTTTTCGAGCTCATGAATATTTTGAAAATTATCCCGAGTCGAAGACGAGGGATAATTTTCTAAAAATATTCATGAGGGAGAAAAAATTTCCGGATTTAATTTGACCTCGTGTGGTATTCGGTAAGAAAATTCCACACCAAATTGTGTTTAAATAATTAAAATTTATTTTTTGATTTAACTTGACCTCGACTTGATTATTTAGTTACCATGGCAACTAAGTCAACCCCAACCTAAAAGTTATTTCAGTTTTGAAGCTGTCAAGCGGCACGACGTAAAAAAATGTGAAATTGTCTGCTGTAATGATCAATCATCGTGCAATGACTTATTTACCCGCATTATTAGAGGATTGTGGCTCCTACTTGAAGAAAGAAAATTTGTTTTGAATTGTTCACGAATATTTGCATCTTAACTATTCAAAACTCAAAGTGCTAAATGGAAAAAAAGGTGAATAGAATAGTGTCTAAATATTATATATATTTCATTAGACATAGACATTTAATTTATTTAAAGTCCTGCATTTTCGCCATTAAGAAGAAAGGAGGTGTCCAACGAATATAGAAAACATCTAAACTTTGTAATGGAAATGTATCAAAATTATCATGTAAACAAATAAAAACCAGATTGTCAAAAAAATATTCTGTCATTATAAACGTCAAAAAATTTCCAGTATAATTCGCTGTTGGGTACCCACGAGGAAAAAATTTCCACAACAGCGAATTATACTGGAAATTTTCTTACCGAATACCACACGAGGTCAAATTAAATCCGGAAATTTTTTCTCCCTCATGAATATTTTTAGAAAATTATCCCTCGTCTTCGACTCGGGATAATTTTCAAAATATTTATGAGCTCGAAAAAATTTCCGGAAATAATTTGACCTCTAGTGGTATTACTAGTGAAAATTATTTTATGCTATAGTCAGTGGCGTAGCGACAAATTTCGGGCCCCCCCGCGAAAATCCTTACCTGATTTCAGGTATTTTTTACATGGTTTTATATTGTAAATAAAAAATAATACATCCGGTGACATGATTTTTTAAATTATTTATAAACGAAAAGTACCTAACAAAAAAATAATTAAAAAAAAATAAGGTTCTCCACTGTACCTACTTATAAATTATAAGTAAAATAATAGAAAATAATAACATATTTTTTTAACATAAAAAAATAACCTTAAACTTGAATAGGTATATTTAGTTAATAATATTTACTCAGTAACTCTATATATTAAACTCTCTATAATATTAAACTAGCCAATAATAAAAGAAATACTTACATGTAAATACTAGACCACTTTGTGCTCACCACAGCTGACCGGCGAGAAACGCATGTAAACCAGTGGAAAAATAAAATAAGCAGAAGCAGTCACAAATAAGAACCTACTTGAACCAATACGAATATAAAACAAAAACAAACTAACAACTTGTGAATGACAATCGTCAAAATTTTAGGGGTTCGCAAAGAGAACGCTTCAGAATAATACGCATAACTAAATGCGCATATCTGTTTAGAGTTAGGCGCATGTTTCCAAGTTCTGAATCGTTCCTGCGTAAACCCGCTGTCAATTTTTAAATAAGCGCGATTTTTAAAATTCATCAAAAGGTTCCGTTAGATGTTTTACATTTATGTTGTGATGGTAGGCCAATAATATCAAGTACCTACCTACATTTTAGTAAATTATGATATTTTTAATTAATAATTCATTATTATTCAATTTTTAGTATAAGTAAGATGGAAATAAGTATTTTAATGTTTTGGGGCAAGTATCGGCCGGGCCCCCTAGGAGGTTAGGGCCCCCCGCTTGGCGGGCGTTCGCGGTACTGTCGCTACGCCACTGGCTATAGTTCAAAAGTCAAATTACGACCTCTATACTGTGGAGAGTATTGAAACGCTCGACTGACGAATACAACTTTATACCGTGGCAAAGGTTTAGAAAACTGTATTCAAACCTGGCGTCACCCAATACACTTCTATATTTTTCCGTTTGCTGTGTGGTACCCTTGTATATGTATACTTACATTATCTTCTTCCAATGGTAGGCTTGTTACCGGTATAGGTTGCCAATCTAGAGGGCCCCATTGTTGGATTTTCGATGGCGGCCATAAACCGGCATTCGTTAACTCTACGCTAGCTTTCGTTCTGTCGACATTTGTGGATTGGCAGTAATACTGCTCGGGCCAATAATTTTCCCCCAAAAAATCGTTGTAACGTTTCCGCAAGAATTTGCCTGTGTCGTATTGTAATAATTTTCCCGCCTGTAACAATGAAGGGGTTGAAAGTGTGCCATCGATTTGCCGTCTATGACTTCAAACGTTGATAATTTTGTTGATATTTGGTCGATTTAAAAGTTCTGTCAGGCGTAGTTAATAATTATAATATATACTGTTAATTTTTTGGGATAATCCATAAAATGTAATTTTTAGTGATAATTTTATTAACTTAGTTAATATAAGAATATTTCTATAAGAAAACAAAGTAATGATTTCTTGATAATTTTTAATGCTTACATTTGTCAGTTGACCCCACCCAACTGGATATAAAGTGTTATTTATATGAGGGTCATTGGGGTAAGTATTCTCTGGGGTTCTTATACCATGCCTCATAACCTGCAATTAGGATTTAAAATTGTATAAATTAATAATTCCTTATTTTTTTAACTTATTTTCAAAAATACTTACAATGTGAACCATCTGTAGGTCTCTAGGACTATTACCTTGCAATAAGTTTGCATCACTTAACCCAAAAATAACGAATAACCCCACAACTCCTACTTTTACCAGCATTGCGTTTTTATATTTAACCAATATATTTGAGAAATAAAACAAAAAATTACTTAATATTACGATATAGGTACCTAATTTATACGCAATGATAACCTTAAGGTTAAAAAAATCTATTATAAATCTTTTAAGTTGCGTGACAAAAATGATGAATTATTTTTCATAAAATATTTAAAATTTGTTTTATTAAACTAAATATAAAAAAATAATATTTAGTGTATGAAGATAAATAGTAAATAAACAAAAAAAATAAAATTAAATATTTTCTTAAAAGCTTAAGGTTTTATTTTAAGTTTGAGTAAGGAATAAGTAACTTATTCCTTACTCAAACTTAAAATAAGTTGCCTTAAATTTTAAGTGTAATGACTAGAGACCGGACTTAAAAATTGCCTAAAAGCTCATAAAAAGGCCCTCAAAAGGCAAAATACCTAAGACTTAATTAAAATTTATAAATAAATTATTTTAACAAAATATCAATGCATTTTTGAAAAAAAAAATAGTTTATTTGCTATTAAACAAACAATAATTTTTTTCTACTACCTTACTAGAAAACTTAATTTTCCACCCCCGAGCGAGGGAGGAAAATGCCTATTTTCCTCCCTCTTTTTTTAACAATTTTACATTAGCAAGAGTTTTTGTACCTTGTCTAGCCCTATTTGATTTTGTAGGAAAAAGATTTACTCCGCGCTTGTCCAACCATTCTTTGAACAAACTATATTCATTTTCATACATATCGCTCTTTCGATTTTTAAGGAAGGAAATTAATTGAAACTATTCTTGCCTCTTTAGCAAGATCTTGCGGCAGATCTTCTTCGCTAGAACTCATTTTCAAAACGTAGGAAGAATTTTAAATTTATGATAAACATTTTGACAGCTCATAAAATCTGTTGTTTGTTCTACCAAAAATACCATAGCAACAAAGCGTTGTCAACATAACGTCGGCGACACCCACTTAATATTTTGTGATAATTTTATAGCCCCCTACCGGGTTAGTAAAAGGAACCGGAACGCTTAAAATGTCTTAAAACCGTTAAAAGGTAATAGAAAAAACTATATACATACCTCAGGAGGAAAATGCGTTTCCTCCCTTGAATATTTAATGCCCTTCGCTTCGCGTCGGGCATCAAACTATTCGCGGGAGGAAAAGCACTATTTTCATCCCATGGTATGTAAATAGCTATTTTGACATTTTATTTTGTTAAATTATGTCATTTATCGTATAACTATCTGATCAATAGATCAATAACACAGTACGACAAAATTTGATTTTTTGATTTTGGAATATTTTTTGATTTTAAATAGGCTTAAAAAAATGATACCCGTGTCTCGCCGTTTTTTCAGATCACGTCATTTGTGCGATCCAATAAAATGTTATTCATGGTATTAGGCACGTATAACAGCTATGGCTGTCTATATACTGTATATTTGTATAAAAAATTTATTCACTAAATTAATGGACCTTTAAAATTATTTATTTATTTTAAAATTATTTTAATTATATAATTTGCTCTAGGTTTTCTTATGTAATTTGTTAAAAAATGTTAAATGGATTATAAACGCTTTTAAATTTCAAATCGATATCCTTTTTCGTTCCACTAAAACTTCCAATGGACCACGAACGTAAAACACCCTGTATATCAAGTGGTGTTTTTTAGGTTGTGATACCGCGTGGTAGTACTATATATTCTAAAGCAATGTATAATCGTCAAACTAAAAGATCAAGATTTCTTTCCAACATATATTTAATATAAGATAAATACAAATCTGTTGTTTTATTAAAAAAAAATCAAAAATTTAAACCAGAAATATTTTATTTTTATTTAAAAGAAAAATTTTAAATTACTATTTTCTTAAGTGTAATTTTACTTTTTATTAAAAAGTAAAAAGTTTTTAATGTCATGTTTATTAATTTTAATATTTACTTTTAATACGAATTATTTTGTTGTTTAAAACATTTTGAAACAATTTTTATACTGGAATGAAGTTGTGGTATTATACTATAATAGTTGTTAATAACTTGTTATTAATTATTATGATTTTTAAATCTAGCAATACGAATTTTCATTTAAGCCCCTTTCTGCCATATTTCTTTTAATCAAATATTTTTTTTAGATAATAAATTCAATGCTATTTGTACCTATGTGACAAAATAATAATTCCTTATTTTGTGGAATAAATATTATGTACCTACCTAGAATTTTCTGACTGAAAAATTTGCTGAATTAAAATTTTGGTTAACAGAATTTTAATTTGGCGCTAGTGCATAGCGCGGTTGTGTTACGTACTACTGCCACCAAGCGAAATAACACAACGAAAATAAATTAGGCAACAGTGCAGTCCAAAATTTTCACAATAGTCCACATTCCACATTTTCACAATAATCAATATGCATTAGCGCCAAATTAAAATTCTGTTTAAGTGTGATAACCAACATTTAAATAAAAGTTTGTACGTATCACGCTTTGCAATTAATCTTTACTAGGCTCCAGCTGGATTATGGGGTTCGCTCATGCGTCGCTCATCCCAAAAAATTCCAGCTCGCCCGTAAAGATTCATTTACAAAGCTTGACACGTAAATAACTATTACAAACTGTTTGATGTAATCTTAGATGTATTACAAATATTTTGTTTTTTAATTCATTCCATCATTTTGTTTCTTGTACGAGCTGCAAGTTTTTCAATGCAACGCTAAACATTTTACTGTATTCGTCCAGATATCGGTTAAAAATAATCGAAGAGGGCAATTGTTGTGATAGAATGTTTGACAGTTACATTATTAATTTGAGTTGTCATCATGGTATTAACTACAGCAGATTTGGGTCGAATAGACCTATCCCATAAAACGGACTTTTGGATAGCGCGTGCGTGAAAAGGCACGTCGTCTTTTTTTAATTACATAAAAGAGAAAGAGATACCACTCTTCTTCAGGCACGCGCTATCCAAAAGTCTGTTTTATGGGATAAGTCTATTGTTGCCTTAATAGAGGATGGCCGAAGTAAAAGTTATGTCGCTCGTACTTTGGGAATTCCGCGGTCTACAGTTCGAGATGCTTGGAATAGGTATATACAGACTGGAAACTTTTCTAGGCGACGATCTACTGCTGTATCTCTAAAAAATAATTTGCAAATGGTTCGTCAAGTAAATGTAAGTGAAAGAACAGTACGTAGAAGATTGGCAGAAGCAGGGCTTCATTCACGGAGGCCAGCAATATGTCCACAATTACTTCCTCGTCATCGACAACAGCGATTGAGATTTGCAAGAACCCATTCTGACTGGACCGTAGAACAGTGGGGAAACGTACTATTCACAGATGAATCCAGGGTTTGTTTAAGGTCGCCGGATGGTCGTGAGCCGACTGCACCATATCAGAGCGAATATCATATCATGGCGGTTCAGTGTTGGTTTGGGCGGGTATTTCTAGCGAAGCACGTACCGATCTTATATTTGTTGATAATGGAACTCTAACCGCCCACCGTTACATTGAGGATATTCTTCAAGAAGTTGTCGTTCCATTTGCTCCTTTCATTGGGAACGAATTTATATTAATGCATGATAATGCTAGACCTCACGTTGCACGGGTAGTGCGCGAATATCTGGATGAGGTTGGACTTCCAAGATTGGAATGGCCAGCATGTAGCCCGGATCTCAACCCTATCGAACATTTGTTGGATGAACTTAAAAACGCTGTTCGACGTCGCCCATTACAACCACAATCTTTGCAAGAGTTACGGCTGGCGCTAAGAGAAGAATATCTGGGTATTCCTCAAGAAAAAATAAGTAACCTTATTCATTCAATGCCAAGAAGATTGCAAGCTGTCATTACTGCGAGAGGTGGAAATACGCCCTATTAAAATGTATTTGTTATTTAATTTTATTATAAAGTGTTTATTTTTTCCAATAACAAATAACGTTCAAATCGGCGTTTCATTGAAAAACTTGCAGGTCGTACAATAAATGAAATAATGGGATGAATCGAAAAACAAAATGTTTGGAATACATCTAAGATTAAATCAAACAGTTTGTAAAAAAAATTAACCGCCTCAATTTTCCCACAGGGTATTATAAAGTTATTACAAAAAACAACATTTTGATTTACCCCTGTAAAATATGGCCCAAACAAAAATTTTAAGTTATTAAAATGATAAAAAACAATTACAATAAATTGATCTTCAAACTAGTAAAAAAATCATGAAGATCGGATGAAAAATAAAAAAGTTATAAAACATCAAACTTGTACAAAATTTTAGGGTGGCGGAATTTTGTGCCGGGGAGTGTATTTAATAAAATAATAATAGTTATAGTTGTAGATAAAATGTTGTACCTAACACGTAGGATACTATATCAGGGGCGTGCTGGGCCGCCGGGACACCGGGCGAATGCCCGGTGGCCTGCGCTACCATGGTGGTCTGCTGGACTTGTTATGGTATGCAAATAGAAAAAAGATTTTTATACCAAACAAAAAGTTTTTTCAACTTATATCACTAAACACTTAAATAAATTAAAAAAAAGAAAGTTTTAATTGACTGCCGTAAAAAATTCTAAAACACGTATTTTTTATGTTAACCCTTAACCAAGAAGTGGAAACCCTAAACCGTGGGGATATTTTAGATGCTTTCGTAATTATTGTTCCGTTTCTTTGAAAATCCAAACTGATCCGGAGCCACTTCGATAAAATGCAATTTTAGTAAATTTATAAATTATCGGAAGGGGGGATCAGCTCGGATTTATAGAGAAACAGAAACATAATTAAAAAGCATCCAAAAAAAGCCCCCTCTCGCAGTTTTTGTTTTAATTTATTTGTGATAATACTTTCCTTTAATATTAGTGTGAAGTGACGTAAATTTGGAAGCTTTTATGCTGATTGCTGTGGAGAGAAAGGTGCAAAATGGTTTAGATTTTGACTTAATAATTGGACTAGCTGAAAAAAGTTCTTTGTTGTTAAGAGAGTTATCACGGGACGTTTTATCAGTCGAGGTATTTAATTGTGATGTATTTGTACAATTTATATGAAATTGGGTTGGGCCTGGACTGCTCTACCATCTAGTCCAGACCTGCATTGATTCAGCCAGCACGCCCCTGTACTATATTATTAACGCCCTTATGTGATTACACCACTCGGCCTACGGCCTCGTCGTGCAAATTTTCTCATGCGTGCGTTAATAATATCCATATCCTACTTGTTACGTAAATAACTATTATATATTATATTGAAATATTGTTGTTGTTAGTCTAGTAGCCAAATACAAGGTCTCCAGGATGCATAGTATAGGTGAAATCTATAATTATAAATTGGAGATTGCTTATTCCCAGATAACATTCGTGAGTTCACCGTGAATGCACGGTGAAAAATATTGCTTCACGCGTGAATTCACGGTTGCTAAAAGATGCGTCCGCCCCTGGAATTCACCGTGAATGCACACGTGAAGATATATCCGCCCATTGAATTCACCGTGAATGCACACGTGAAGATGCGTCCGCCCCTTAAATGCACACATGAATTCACCGTGAATGCACACGTGAAGATGCGCCCGTCCCT